GAGCCCTCTTGGAGAGGCTCGCCGTTCAACAGCGCTCCCGCTATGTGTCGCCCGCCCAGCGCATCATCATGGTTTCTGTCATCGAGCGGGTAGTAGCGCTGTTACCGACAAGACAGGTAGCAAACTCTCAGAATGGAACAGAAGCGCGTGCGAGCGATGAATAACATGGAGTAGGGCTCAAGTGTACGGAGGACAAGCAGCGTTCGATTGTTGGAATGCCACAGTCGACGACGAGGGCAAGGTGCGACAGTCGCCACCGCGCAATCCAAGAGCCTTTGCCGAGAAGCACGGAGGAGCATAGGCGTATCATAGCGACCAATCCACGAATCCATGACGTCCTCTTTTCTGGCTCCCCCCCGTCGCAGCACGTAGGAAGGGGTCGATCCAAAGGCACTTCGTCGATCCAGTGCACCGACGTCGTATCTGTCACGTTGTGTCCAACGACCTTGTGTCCAACTGCGAGTACCACGTTTATAGTTGCCAAAGGACGTTGGTTCATGATTCAATTATCACGACGTTCCTCCAATGAGGCTCCTCGATCAAGACCACAATATGACATGCCTATGGCTGTTGCCAAGAGCAACATCCTAAAAGATCGTAGAGTGATCTTGCTGATGTCGTCAATCTTGCAATAGCCGGGAGTGGCAACATGGTAGGACAGTGCGGACAGTACCACCGCCGTCCAACGAGCTGCACGGCGGCATCTGACAGGTGAGAAATCACTGCACACGGATGCCTGTCCACACCCCTGGTCCACACGACGGGCCCTCGATGAGCTTCCAATGTGATCTCATCACGGTTCCGACAATGTACTGTCTGTTTCGCCGAGTAGATCCACAAGCTGCGTTCTTCATTTGTCTTGTTGTCCGTCAGGCCAATGGTACTGCACATGATCGATGCTCTCATGCTCCATTGACCGCGTTCTCGGTCAATTTGTTAGTAGTATCCCAGTCCATGGTGAGGGCTGGCGTTGTCGCAACAGCAACGATTGTTTTCCGCGGACGATATCGACATGAAGTGGGCAAGCCACTCTCACGCCATCACCGCACGGCGGCTACGTGCGCATGTTCCAGCGTGCTCGATCGCACAGGTCGACTGTACCCCGCTAAGAAAGCTTTCTTACCGGTAGTGTCTTTGTGTTCCACGCCGTGCGATTGCTGTGACAATAGTATCAAGATATCAAGGCGACCGACCGATTGCAGCATGCACCACGCTCAAGCTGACGTGACCGTTCGTTCGGCATGGCGATCTCCCGTCCCAGCGCAACAACCTCGTGAATATTTCAAGATCACGGCGATCGAGACACCTCACAGAGTCCTCACAACGTCATTTGAGCAAGACGAGCCGCCACGCAATCGCGGCCAGGCGAGCGAGTGAAGACGACGGTGGAGAGTGCTAGGCTCTACCCAAGTGAATGTACCACCAAGGGGATATTTTCTAGGGTTTTTATCCCTTGGTACCACAACGAGAGCCAACGACACCCAAGATCGATTTCACCTCGAACCACTTCCACGTGACGGCGACACGGAAAACAATAAACGTGAATGCCATCGATACAATATTGACACAGAGCGCGACGACGTTACCAGAGCGCAAAGTGGTCTTCGACAACACCGAACGCATTCTCGACCGTGATCTCGTGCACAATATTGTCTTCGGTCGCGCAGACAATGCGTCCCGAGAAGGTGCCGTACGGCTGCACAAAGCGCGAGTGCACAAGATACGGCACGCCCGCGTCATCCCGGCGGGCACCGGCCGGCGTAAACTCGAGCGTCACATTGTCAAGCAGCGTCGGCGCGATGGATGCAATGCGCCACGTTGCGTGGATCGGATCCACATCTGGAATCTGAAACTGAACCCCGCGCAGCGCGCACACGCGGCCGTCGACCCAGATGGCGTTTTCCTGGGACGCGCCATCGACGTCGTACACGTGTTGGCTCAAGTTGATGCCGATGGCGGCGCCGTCGTCGGCAAAGAAGCTGGCGGACGCCCAGTGCCACGTCGTCTCGCGCAGCGCTATGCTCTTGGTCCAGTCGATCGCGCCGAGGCCGCGCTCGACCGTCACGTGGCTCGCGCCAAAGTGGAGATGGCCACTCGCGGCACTGCCCGCGCCCTTGTGCACATAGGCGGGTCGCCATGGGTCGTCGGCCAGCGGGTACACAGCGTGAGCGCTTCGTCG